GGTCTCGAACTCCTGAGCTCAAACAATCCGCCCACCTCGGCCTCCCAGAGTGCTAGGATTACAGGCGTGAGCCACCGCGCCCGGCCCCTAAAACTGTAAATCTTAATTTATGATACCAGAAGATTTTTAAAGCGGTAACCAAAGTCCTTTAAGCTCAACCTTAAACAAAATAAAACCCAAAGTTACTTTAAGTGATGAGGGAGAAGTGAATCAAACACTGAAACTGTATCATTTTGCCAGAAACAGGAAGGAAAAGGAGTAGGAATAGAAAAAGAGTAAAAGAGAATTTTATTCTATACATGGAACAGCTAAAATACTTGAAAACAGCTTTCCAACTTTGATTTGTTTTAGGTTTTGGTATATAAAATGTTTTTGTTTAAATTGCAGTATCTTCTACAAGTCTTTGAATCTACCCAAAAAATAGTATAAAATAATCTATAAATTAAAATCTGGTGGGCATTTCTATAAATAAAACTCGGTACATTTTATGATCTATAGAATCATCAAATGATTGTATTTGTTTGCAAAATGAGGTTGGATCAGTAACTTAAATACTTTAAGAAACCAGAGTCCGTGTAGAATGCCCAATCTAATTTTATACTTCACTGATACTGCACTACCTTTCTATTAAGCTAAAAGAGTTTTTCAGTATTTCTTCAAGGCAGTTTTCCTATGTGAGAAAATGTTTCTATGTTAAGTAAAACAATGAATACGCTATGCAGAATATAAATACTGCCATTTTAATTTAAGGGAAAGGGAGGACGGGAATAAATGCTAAACAAAACTTCTGTTTTTTGTACACAGAGTACTAACCACTATACGATCACGGCCTAAACTTTTTTACAATAGGTAAAACCTGCATTATAATTAAACTATGTTTCAAATCTAATTTGGTATTTACTGGACAGCCGTATTGATCCTAAAAACTATTTTTTGAGGGAAATTTTTAAAAGAAAACAACATTTCCCAAAAAGTAGCAAAACGTCATTAAACTGTATGTTCATGGATGGGAACTCAACTAGTGTGCTCCTGTGTACATTAGTACACACACCATAAATTCGGGACAAATAAAACAAAGCAACACTGCAGCCACTTTATAATAGCAATGCCACTGAAATATTTTTAAAAGTTACAAAAATAGCAGAACTATCATCTGGCACATAAACACATAGTTAATAGTCCTGCATCTTGAATAGGAGTGCTCATTATACTTTTCACCAAAGTTTTATTTGGAAATAGGAATGAAACTTCAGGAAACAGGAGGAAAAGTCCCTTTTTCCCCTCTACAAGAGAAAAATCTCCAAAATAGAAGAACTATTTCATTTAGGTGATGAAGGTTAATGCGCAGCCACAGCTCACTTTCCCATTGGCCTATGATGAAGGAATGAAGATAATATTAGAGGTAGGAGCAGTTCCTTTATGACCAAGGAGTAGTCTGGATTCCCAGACTTTGAAGATCTCTATAACTGACACCACCCATCGGGCCGATTATTATGCCTTAATATTTTTTCTACAGTTCTCCCACCTCTCATGCTCTATTCTTTTTGGTACATTCAATACCTCCTTGAATACTGATATATAATATAATGTTCATTACAAATCTCAGTGCTTTCTAGCATCCTCTGAACTATAGCATTATTTCTAAAGTTGGCCAGCCAAGTATCTCTAGTTCATAGAAGATACTTCCTCTGCTATGAAATATTCCACTGACAGATGACCTGGTACAACAGAAGAGTGGCAGATGCATTCTAAAATGGTTTGTGTGGTATATTCCTCATTTCTCAACCACCTACCAGACTACTAGGTACAAGAGCAAAGGCATATGAAAAAAAAGGGGGGAGTGTGGGAGACACAATGGTCTATAAAAGGATTTCTCTGCTTTTAAGGTATTTTAGAATAAATAAGATTCACATATTTAAAACAAAAAGGAATGTCTATGAATTCTGTAGAAATCAACAAAAAGGAATTATCAATATGTGAACAAATTATTAAAAAAGATTTCACAAAGAAAAACCTGAGCCAGACTACGTTAAAAAAAGAACAGGATTTAAATATACAAAGAGAAGTATGTGTAGTTTGTATCTGTATGTGAAATATTTAAGATGTGAAAAAAGCTGTGGTTAAGCATCTTGGGGCCTTCACTCTCTGTACATTTTGTTCCCCATTACAGTCCCACCCAGTACATGATTCTTTGGCTTCCTAGAGACCTCTATCCCGCTCCTCAAACGATATATATTCCTACTTCAATTTCTAAGGGCTACCAGGAAAAGGACCAAAAGATCCTCTGAGGAAAATCAAAACCAGGAACTGAAGTATAAATTCAGGACAGAGGAACCAGTAAGAAGGTTAAAAGATAAAAACCTAAGGAGTCAAGCAAGAGTCCTATAATGCAATAGAGAGATAGGGAAATACAAGATTAGGAGTAAGGGGAGAATAAAATAGGTAAAGAAAGTAGAAGAAAATAAGAAGAATAAAGATGCACAAATTTCTGCTTGATTTTGAAAACAGTTTCTAACAATTGGCTTTTGTCAAAACAGAGTTGATAGTTCAAGATTGGAACTGACAGGCAAAAACAGATGGATTACCCAAGGGCTGCTATAATTACAGAGTTTTTCTTCCAAATGCTGTGTCAAATAAATTTTTAAGAGTGAACCCTCAGCTATACCTGAAACCTGGAGATGTGAGGGAAATTTTATCATATGTCTGCAGGGAATGACAAACATGTACTAAAAACAGTACTCAAGTGAAAACATTAGCCCATTTTTATATGGGGCTAAATTATGGATCTTCAAGATCTTCAGCAAAAAAAAAAAAAAAAAAATTTTCTTTAAGAGACAGAGTCTTGCTCTCTCACCTGAGCTAGAGTGCAGTGATCCAATCATGGCTCACAGCAACCTCAAACTTCTGGGCTCAAGCAATCCTCCTCCTCAACCTCCCAAGTAGCTGGGACTACAGGCATGCACCACCATGCTCAGCTAATTTTTTAAAATTGTTTTAGAGAGACAAGGTCTCGCTATATCCAGGCTGGTCTTGAAGCCTCGACCTCAAGTGGTCCCTCCTGCCTCAGCCTCCCTAAACTCTGGG